AAAAGCAACTGAATCAGTTTACCTCATGGTAAGGCCAGCCCTGCTGACACGGATGAATATATTATCTTAGAATCAACATTTCATTTTTAAGTTCTAAAAACATAATATGAATGTAAATGTTTTCAGTCAATAAATTAATGAATACACTTGTTCTGGTGGAGTGTTTGAAGCTTAAGTCTATAAGCTGTACAGTAGGCTAATGCATGAAAATTTAAACATGAAACGGTTAAAAGCTTAGTGTGCATGAAAATTCAAATCTGAAGCTGGTTAAAAGCTTAGTAAATGTGGACGCATTGGAGGAGGTCCAGCAGAGGGCAACCAAAATGATTAGGGGGCTGGAGCACATGACCTATAAGGAGAGACTGAGGGATTTGGGTTTGTTTAGTCTGCAGAAGAGAAGAGTTAGGGGAGATTTGATAGCAGCCGTCAACTTCCTGAAGGGGGGTTCCAAAGAGGAAGGAGAAATCTATCACTGCTATGAACAGCCTGGCAGAACAAGGAGAAATGGTCTCAAGTTACAGTGGGGAAGGTCTAAGTTAGATATTAGGAAAAACTATTTCACTAGGAGGGTAGTGAAGTATGTGAATGGGTTACCTACGGAGGTGGTGGAATCTCCATCCTTAGAGGTTTTTAAATCTTGGCTTGACATAGCCTTGGCTAGGTTGATTTAGTCAGGCTTGGTCCTGCCTTGGGCAGGGGGCTGGACTTGATGACCTCCTGAGTTTTCTTCCAGCTCTCTGATTCTATTAGGGCCTAGTATGTTGCACAGTTCTGTGGCTGTGAAATTTGCAGCGGAGTATACTTCTTGCCCACAAACCTATGCTTGCATATTCCAAGCTTTTAATTTATATATTGGTTATAGCCCCTCTGCTTATAAAGAAAGTCTTGAAAATGTCAACAATATAAATTGGTGCAGTAGCAGAGATTTTGTCTATTAGAAAAGTTGTACTGGTTTAACTAAATCTAGTAAAAAAAGATAGACGACTCTATAAGAGATGCCCTTTCATTAGGTTAACTCATTTGCGTCAGTCTAGCTTAATTTGGTAATACACTAATGCCAATTACGGAAGAGCCCCAGTTATCTGAATATTATATACAGTGCAAAAGTCTGATGGGGGCTTGAGCAACACAAATTTCCCTTTACTCATGTTTAAGGGTGCAGAAAATGATGCAGTATTTAGTGATCTACATATTCATGTTTTACACAAATAAAGCCTAACCTACTGAGCACTGGCTGTAAATAAATTGACCACACATTTGAAAAGTCTGGTTTATTCTCTTAGCCCATTAGGACATATGTTATCTAATAAGGTGAACATCCACCACTGTGTTTCACACATATAAAATTAAAAATCCTGTATTTAAGTTTCATAGAAATGATATACAGCCCACCCTCCCTTCCTTCTCTGGCAACCTCTTAAATTTTCTTCAAAAATACGTTATGGGGATATTAAAACACCATGCAGAGTGTTAAGAAATTATCCAAACAGACCTGGAGGATACCACAATCACAGTCACATAAAGCTCTAAGGGTAAGTCTACACTGCATTCCTCTTTTGAGAGAGGAATGCAAGTGCAGCTGAGTGAAATTGCAAATGAAGCACAGATTTGAATTTCCTGTGCTTCATTTGCATAATTGCGTCCAGGCACTATTTCAAAAAAAGAAACGCTGTCTAGACGCAGTTATTTCGAAAGAAAACCCTTCTTTCGAAATTACCCTTACCCTTAAACTTCATTGTAAAAGGAGTAACTTTGAAAGAAGCGCAGCGATTCTTTTTTTGAAATAGTGCCTGGACGCAATTATGCAAATGAAGCACAGGAAATTCAAATCTGTGCTTCATTTGCAATTTCACTCAGCTGCACTTGCATTCCTCTCTCAAAAGAGGAATGCAGTGCAGATATACCCAAGCAGATTTGGGAAAGGGGTAGGGGAGGAAAAAAAAGGGCAACTTACTAAGTGAATTGCTTGCCTGTTCAACAATGACTTATGTAGCAAGTTCCAGTAGCATCAGGCAGAGATTTAGTGCTGCAGATACTGCTGTGTTAAGAGGAAAAAGGCAAAGTTAGGATCATCCTGGGTAAATAAATAGTGGCCAGGGCTAGGTAAAAGGTCCTGAAGTCCATTCTGGCCACCTTGTTATCCTGAGTAAATGCCTTGAACTGGCAGGAACTCAACTGGCATGTGTTTTGAAGATGAAAAGCACCTGGAGACACAGGTACTGACATACCAAGCACTCTACCCACTGGGTGCATTAGGAGCTGGACCATATAGTAGCCCCAACATTAATGTCCACATTGGGTCCAGTGCAATATATGAATCTATTATCTTCAGCAGCATTTCCTAATTTTAAAACTGTCGGTAGAGATTTATAAAAATAAAAATTTCAAACATTTCTCATGTGTGAAAAGATTGCAATAGATTACAATAGAGAAGTGGCCTTTACACTGGACTAGAAAAGAACAACAGCGCCCCTTCCTCCTCATAGAAATCCCTGCACCAGGAGACAGGCTCTTAGAAAATTAGGACATTGCTTAAACCTCATTAAAGAAGCTGCCAACATATTCCCTCTGGTGCCCTGGCAAGGAAGCCATGAACACTGGCCTTCCAGAGGAGGAAGTGGATGACAGGACGTAGATCAAGCCCTGTGATAAAGTGGGGGAAGGGAACGTGTTGGAACAACAGATACTACAATAATGTCTTTTCATTTTCTGTGTCAGCCCCTACACATTGAAGCTTTTTTAGATCTCCCAATGTTGTACAGATGAAGAAAGAGATGCAAGGAACTTAAAGATTAAGGATCTGAGCTACTGTGTATATATCCAGGACTCCCTGCCCAATCTACTAGTTCTCTAATTAAGCAGATTACAGACAGTAAGGATGGAAAGATTTGTTGATCAAACAGACATACAAAACATTCCCACTATAAGATAAACTACCCCAATGTTGCATTTCTAGTATGTAGTTTTGGACTCCCACTGGGATCACCCTTATCTCTCTGAGCCCCAGGTATTCCCCTATTCTATCCTGAAACCCATATCAGATGAGGACTGGCTGGGACTGGCTAAATCAGGAATAACTCCACAGAAGCCAACAGAGCAACAGTGGTGTAAGACTGGTATGTTAAGAACTGGAGTCTCAGGCAGGACTTGGAAGAGCTAAACAATGCTCTGCATTTACATAGCAATTCACATCTGCCAATGGCTGTACAAATACTAATTCCACTCACAAAGACCCAAGAGGGAAGGAGGTATGAGTGAGGCACTTCTAAGGCAGAACCTATAAAAGCCTTACCTATGCGTGTAAGTTGCCTCCAGGTGCTGCAGAAGCACAATTGGGAATATTATTAGTTTGTGGATTAGCAGAATGATGGTTAAGAGTGTGCAATACTAAAGCATGTCCCAGCTTCAATATGTCATAGCAGTAATCTGCACTGCTCAGACCAGAGAAGGCCCTCTCACCCGTACTCATTTTGCAACATCCAGTCTCAGTGGTAAAAACCTTCAACTGGAATATCACTTCAGCAAAGCTAAATCAAAGGAGGATCCCAAGACATGCCTGGATCTGAACTCTCGTAAGGGTGAGGTTTCCCCCTTGACTTGGGCACAGATTTGTAATCTCATTGCATCTCCATGGATTACATATATGCAAACATACAGAGAAAAGGCTTTGTGAAGATTCTAAAGCGTAATTTATACATCTGGGAGCCCAGAGACCTCAATTCTGATCTAGAGAGATTCAAGACTTCCACATTCTGGGAGTGCAGACACCACCTATTGTCATTTATGGAAATTCAGAAGCATGTGGGGTATGGGAACGTCTGTGCCGAGAGTCCCCTTTGCCATCTTCTACTGGAGGGTATTAAACAGGGCTGTGATCTCCTGTACATAAAGGCTGGCTACACAAAACATATTCACAGGACTATGGGATCTGATCAACAGTGAACATACCATACAAGAGAGAGGAGCATCTCTGACCAGACCTTTAGAATCTCTCAACTGATCGATGCTCTGTCCTGGGTTTTGCTCTCAAGTGGTGATAAGGAGATCAGATTTCAAAAGGAAAGTACAAATGGAATCTCCACATTTATTGCAGGGAGAAAGGGTTAATTACCCCACCCCGATATCCCAATCTTTCTCTCAGACACATTGGGCCAGCCAGAGACAGAAGAGGAAACCTATCAGAGGCACATCCACTGGTACGAATGGATCCAGAGGGACATGCTACTGATAGGAAGGAGGGAAAGTCAGTCACGCAAAGGGCAGAGGTAGGGGAAATCTGAGGTAAGTTTGAAACAAACTATGCAGCAGGGGTCACCAGACTCACAAGTAGAATGACACTCTACCCACCCCTCTGTTCCAGACCAGTGCCGCCTCCTTACTTCAACTGTCCACGCTGGGCCACATCTGTTTGTTTTCCATCACGGGAAGAATGCTGCAGTAAAGGGCTCCTGCTGTTTAAATCCAATGGCACATCCTTTGCCAACAGTTTGGCAGAAGAGCTGTAAGTCAGTGGCTTCTGCTCTTTATTGCATTTGTATCTAGGTCATTAAGTGGTTATGCGTGAAAAGAGGAACAATTTTTAAAAAACCCTTGTGATGGTACCAATGCACCCGTTTCCCTTCTGAAGATGGCCCATAGGATCTGTTAATTAAAACTGTATATGGCCATGAAATGAAAACAATTACTGAATCAGGAGTCTGGGATGGGTAGACAGAAGATGTGATCTGGGGGACAGGCATCTTCTCCCCGGGCCTTTAGCTCTCCTGGTTTCAAACTAGCACAAATCAAAGCAGTGTCTTCTGCAAGCCAGCAAGGCGCAGAACCCATACCTGTGGGCTGGCAGAGTATAAAATTGCTGTGCCCCAGAAATCAGTTCAGCACGCTATATCCTGGCAGTGTTGGGAGAAAATGTCAGCCTCCATTCACGGATGTGCAATTTCACTCATGGGCCCAGCCTCACAGCTGCTTGTCAGTCCTCATCTGAGCTGTCCTCAGACTTCTCGTCAGCTGCCACTTTCCAGTTCTTCCTCTTGCTTTGTTTCTCCTGAATCTCGCTGTGCCTCTCGGATGCAGACACAAGGCATTTCCTCCTTTTTTTCTTAGACCACTTTTCCTTTTTCTCCTCAGACTCGCTGTCCTCGGAGCTACTCACATTGGAAGAGTCACTTTCCTGCCCAGAGGAAGAGGCAGGTTCCCTTGCAAGCATTTTCTTGGTCTTCTTCTTGTGCTTGTGTTTGTGTTTCCCTTTCCTGGTGCCTGAAGTCTCCTCCTCTGAACACTCACTCTCCTGGGAAGAACCAGAGGATGCCTTCACCTTTTCCTTTTTCCTTTTCTTTCGCTTTTTGTGTGATTTCTTTTTCTGCTTCTTTTTCTGTGATTTCTTTGGCCTCTTCCGTTTGAGTGACTCATGTACAGATTGTTTTCCTGGGTGAGATTTCCTCTTTCCATTGACAGCATTTTGTTCATCTTTCTCTTGCTGGTCACTGCAATAGGAACAGAGGATAAAGGCCTAGGCAGATTCTAAACTAGTAATCCTGTTTCAAAACATCAGTCAAGCCGATCTACCCTGAGTTCCTTTCAAGACATATGGATGGTATGGCAGACAAGTTGGCTGCATTTTTTAATGCACTGCTTAATAGTTTGGATCCAAATCTTACTACCGGGACAAGAGAGAGAGGTGTCATTTCAAAGACATTTTAACCAATCCAAAGCACAGTAAACATATGTGCTACGGAACATAATAGGCAAAACTTATTAAGAATGCCTTATCTGTGACCATCAGGAATCAGACACATGCTAGACTTGGAAATTCTACTATGTACAGTTTTTAACTCAAATCTATGCCCCCAATAGATTTTTTTTTCCATTTTATGCATTTTTACTCTTCTTAGTTGCTCTGATGCTGCTGGAGCTCTCGTTCTAATATTCCTAGGTGCAGATATGCTTGCAGCCCATCAGTGAAAGCTAGCCTGCTTCAGGAAATTGCCCAATTCCAAGAAGCCAGACACTTATTTCCATAGTCACTCTTAACACAGAGATAAAGCTGGAAATCCTGTTAGAAAAAAATACAATCACTTCTCAAGGCTCAGAACAGGGAAAGACAGAGTACGTCTAAACTGTGGGTTTTTTTCAGGATACCCTGCAAAAACTCCACCACATTCAGGGAACATTCCATGAGGAAGAAGAGATCTTCTGAAAGAGGGTTTATTTCCAAAATTTGGCCCAGTGTAGATGGGCCAAATTTTGGAAAAGCCTCTTCCAAAAGAAAAAAAAAAGTGGAAAAAGGTATGCAAAATGCAGAGTGCATTTTGCATACTTTTTTCTGCAAAAAACCTTGTAGGGTGGACATACCCACAGTCACTACAGGAAAGGTGCCACATATGGACAAAGCAAGGACAGCGTTCAAGCCTTAACTCAATATTTGTGCCTTATGAAGTGAAGCCAACCGTCTCTCATTATTGTTACAACTGTTTTGGGTAAAAACATATTCATGAACTGGAATTTCAAGCTACATGTCTCAATTCTGCCTTTAAAGGTCAACTTATAGTCTATATTGGAGAAGTACAAACTCTAAATTTCACTGTGTGACTTGACAGAAATAGACATAGGACTTTTTCTGAAAAGGCATAGGATTTTTCAGTAGGCCTGTTTGTCTTACCTGTCAGTATCAAATTCCTCTGGATACAACTCTTTATAGCCACTGTGACCCCATCTGCAAGGGAACAGCAGGAAACACATTAAAATCACACAGGTTATAAAGAACCAAAATGAGTGTGAAATGAAAGTGAAAGCTTTAGGAAAAATACAGGCCAGAGGAATATCGGCTAGTATCCTCCTTACCTTTTTAGGGTGCTAACATTCTACTTTGCTAGGTTCTGTTCAGATCATTTTAAGCAGATTAATGGTCCCTTTGCTTTTCTCTGGTAAAGAACTTGTACCTCCCGGTGAGGCAGAAGATCAATGATTTGGGAGCTCACACTCTCTCAGACATCCAGAGAACATGGGCTGAAATCTTATCCCTGATGAAGCCAATAGAAGTTTTGCTCTTTATTTCACACAGGATGTGTAATTTGCTTTGCTCATACTATGCATTTCCCTCTTAGTAAGAGTGTTTCATTTGTATTAAAGTGTGTGATCACACAACAATAATGCAAAACAAGTGTGTGGTGCTTTATCAAGGTGGCAAAATCTACATACTATTAGATTCAACAACTAAAACCTATCCAAATACAGAGTGACAGATGAATGGAGAACCTTTAGGCATGAAGAAAGCCACCAGCCAGACACCTGGAGGAATAAAGTGATTGGCTAAAATGAGAGTGAAGGAGGAGTTCAGGGAGGCGCAATGAAGCTCATGTTTCTTAGAAATAATCACAAAGTAGTGACCTGTATGCCCCTTTACTCTGGGAGATTAGTTAGCCTGATATCATAAACTCTCTCAGTTAAATTCTACAAAGAGCAGTACTAAAAAACTCTTGGGTTTGGGGCTGTATTTATTTAGTGCCAGAGACGAAGGATGCCTTTGTGACCATGCAGGATATCTGGGCTCAGTACCTGGCTCTGTGTGAATGGGACATGTCATTTATGTCTCTGTGCCTCGTTTTACCACCTATAAAATGGGGGTGATTCTATATCCTTACAACACTCCTTTGCAACAAGGATATTTCACTACCTTTTGTGAAATATGGGGGACAAAGTACCAGATACATTTTCTGCACCACACCAGAACAGTAATTCACCCACAAACCTGTCTGGTAAATTGGCTTCACATTCATAGAGCTTCTTATTCCAGGTCCGGGCCCTCAGAAGGTCATCTTCTATCGTGTCTGGAACATGCACAAAGTTCTTCGACTTCCAGTCAGCCCTTTGGCTCTCCTCATCAAAACCGTCACTGCGCATACGACTACTGCAGAGAGAAAATTAGCGTGTTCTCCAGAGGTCAATTCAGAGGAACAGATTACTTTTTGGGCTCTGAATCAATCTAGGGTACAGAGGGTATGGGAGAGAAAGCACACAACAGATGCTCTCTGGATGTCAGTCTATGCAAAAAGATTCACTCAATCTCCATATAATTGTTACTCAGAGGGACAACCCAAAGATTAATAAATGACTTAGACAGTTGCGTTTCATCACTTTCTCAAACCACTTTGAGAAATAATAATTATGACTCGTAGGATGCTTAGAAGGTTATGTATGCATCACTTCAAGCACCATTGAAATGAAACCATCTCTGGAATGAATCACAGAAGCTGCTTAACAGTTCAAAGTGATAATGATCTAGGCAGAAAATTTAAGATGACAGTATTCAACATGAACTGGTAGGGGAACATAATTACTGGAGCTGGAATCTGGTTAGAGTACCAGCGGTAACAGCCGGAATCTAATAAAAAGTGCTATAGGGGGTTCTGAATGAATACAACTGATCATGACTTTACTTATATATCCTAACTAGCTGGGCTACTGCGCTCAACACAGACTCAAAGGCAAGAGCAAGAGCAAAAGCAAAACCCCTTCTTGCATCATTTATTAATTCCTTGAAGGTCTTCATCCATGTACAAAACCAATCTGATCCTATTTAGTTTGCAAGATCTTCACAATACACCAATGACAACTTAACTAGTTTGTTATGGTGAGTTCCCACAGGTGACCAGCTATTACGTTAAGGCCCTACGTTAAGGCTGGACAGGAGCTAGGAGGAATTTGTGATTCAAGATCTTGGGTCAGAATGACCTAATTGAGTGATAACCCACATCACGTTATACTTACTAATGCACCAGGACTGACCGAGTACATCTATCAAAGTCAGTGCAGACTTTTCAGATGTCCTTATATATATTCTTAACACTTCTTAGCCAAGCTATATTCTCGCTATTACAGAGTCCTCAGACTACCTAAAGATAAATATTTTTAAAATTGCACACCTGGATCATCCCACAAGCTTCAACAGGAAGTGTGGTGGATATAGGATTATACGTGGATGTTCCTGTGTGGTCACCAAAATGATTACAAGAATATAAATCTTTAGCCCCTACAGAGGAGACTTTGTTTAAAAAACTTTGTAAACATTAACTACAGAGTGGTAAAGAAGACTATTTCTTCCAGATAATTAAGTCCCACCTGGAGGTATTGGGCGATATTCTCCCTTGCTTCCACCTGTAAGTCTCTTGAGTCTGCTTCTCCAGCTCTCTTATTTTCCACATTTCTGATTCTTCCTGAATCTGAAAAATATGAAGAAAATGAGAAAATAAGATTAAGTGCTCCACAGAAGTGTTGCTTTGCAACTATGAGGCACTGTAACCTCACTTCTTCTAGGTCAGTAATTCTGAGCTGGATGGATTTCAAACTAAGCTGACCTGCTTGCAGTGATATAAATGCGTCTTTTTAGCTATATTAAGTAAACCAAAAGGAGAAACATCATGACAATTAGCTGTAGTGGTTTTATAGGTGAAGAGTCTAATTCTGCAATCTGATCCATATAAGTGGATCCTCCAAGTCTATGCAAAAATCTCTCTCACTTCATTGGAGTTCTTCTCTCACATCTCTTACAGAACTGAAGTTGAAGCGAGTAATCACGTTAAACACATGAAAATACAACATGCAGCCATCTAGTGCTTTGACACAGATTTAGCTCACGTAGCTTTGTTATCCATGTGGCATCATCGCAGGTGCATATGAGATAAGTGCTCTTTGGAAAAATGCGTCTGCTGAATTAAATACTTTAGTAAAGAAAGGCTAATTTCAAAATCTTTTACCAGGCTTGTGCACTGAAGTCAAGATCAATCCCCAAAGAGACCTGTTTTACAAAAGCACAAAAAACTAACAAGTGCTAAATTAAAAGAATCACCAAACCCAAAAGGTAAATATTATGAAAAAGTCCTTTTCGAAGATACCAGAGCTAGACAAACACTTCCATTATTTGTAAATAGATGAAACTTGTAAACAAATATTCCCTTGCCATGCCTACAAACCAAACAAGGCAGCACTAAGCAACTGAAAGGGAACTTGATTATGAACACATAAAACTGACTTTAATTGCCCAAGCTGAGAGAAAAGCAAAAAATGAAACAAGAGTTTAAAGAGGGAAAATCTAGATGAGTAAACATACATGTCATTGTTAGCAATGTAGGTAGAGGAGCTATGCTTATGCACAAAATGTGATTTTCAACTGATGGTGCCCCCTTAAAAAAATTTCTTGCTCAGCTAACAGTTAATTCACCTCTACATTCAGGATCAAATTCAGTTCAGTGCAGAAAATCAGCAGATGGCGTTGGCACTCTCTAAGTCCCAAAGAGAGCACTGTGATTTATTTATTTTTTTAAAGTTTATACATTTTTCATTTTATTTTTTGGAAATACAGTGTTATTTCATTTTATCTACCCTCATGGGAAAGTTGGAACCCTGCCCATGGAGGGAGGTGAGAGGCCCTGGACCTAGAGTTGGCTCAGGTTGGTTCCTGCCCAAGAGGTACAGTTCCAGTTGCTATAAGGTACAATGGACTCCTAAGATGCACTGTAGAAATTTCTACCTTCAAAAATACACCTGTGTGCTGAACAAGTAATTTAGCTACCATAATTCAGCAACAGTAAAATGAAAATAGCATAGCTCCATACAATGGCATCAAGAAAGAGCTTCCCCTAGAAGAATCATATCTGGGACCACAACACTAAAATAACAGATGTCACGGCAAGTGAGGGAATGCCAGATTCTGACATAGATAAGGAAAGTCAGACAGACTGTATTAGCAAGACAAAGTGGATGAGGTAATATCTTTCATTGGATCAACTTGTTGGTGAAAGAGACAAGTTTCTTCAGGTCTGGGCAATTAGAAGTGATACCATACTTTAAACACAGAGCGAGAGAAACAAAGGGACAGAACATGGTTCCCTACCTTGTTGTGTGCATCAGTGTGACGAATGACATTTCGTAAGAGAACTTTTCCTAAAGGGACCCGGGACATTCTTTAACCTTCATAGAATTCACAAAAAAGAAAGCAATTAGAGAATCACATATAAGACTCTTTAATGCAGAAAATGCTCGTCAGGACTGAGACAAAGCTTAAAAGCAATTTTTTTCCACCTGTATGACAGAAAACATGTTATTGACTCAGGCTGACATTTGTGTTCCCTAAGAAAACACTGCATTACCCCAAAACGAAGACTTCTTAGAGCCACTCTTCACATACAGGGCTTAGAAAGGATCATCCAGTAACTGATGCCCACGTCCAGAGTTCCTGATAAACCTCTGTATCTCGTATCGCACATATCAATGAGAAGCGGGAAACAAAGTATTTATAAGTCTAACGTGTCCATGTTGATCACCTTTCACGTGGTGGATCTGATCCTGCGCTTACCTCGCTCCGCACAAGTCAGATGAGATTGCGCTGAAACCAACGGAGCTATGCTGGTGAAAAACGAACATGAGGAGAGACCCAGGCCCTACAGATACAGCCATTCACCGCCCAGCTCAATGCAGCCCCCCCGTGGTGTCAGCCAGCAGCTAGCTGACAGCTCGCAGCATGTTAGGGTGGAAAATAAAGAGGCCTCGCAGAAAGCGGGAAGAGGGGAGGGAGGTCTAGGGAAATGGGCTTCGACGGAGCTATGCTGGTGAAAAACGAACATGAGGAGAGACCCAGGCCCTACAGATACAGCCATTCACCGCCCAGCTCAATGCAGCCCCCCCGTGGTGTCAGCCAGCAGCTAGCTGACAGCTCGCAGCATGTTAGGGTGGAAAATAAAGAGGCCTCGCAGAAAGCGGGAAGAGGGGAGGGAGGTCTAGGGAAATGGGCTTCGACCCAAAACACCAGCCCGCCTGGGACCCATCAGCAGCCACACGTGGAGCCAGGCTGGGGGCCGTGATGGGGGGCGCGGG